TTTCATGCTAATGGGGAGAACAGCAGTAAGAAACGAAAAGAAACGTTTCTTTTCCATTATCATATGTTATGTTATTTTTTTGCAGTTGCTGTAATAAAAAATATAATAATAATAAAAATCTGGCGACAGGTTAAAAATAAAGAAAAAGAGAACGGCAGGAAATGAACACACCAAAGTGTAACCGTGGTTTACAATTTAAAAGTTTTCCTATTTGGGAATGTCTAATGACGTGAGTATAGAGAACGAAACACAAACCTACCTCCACCTAGGTCGAGATTATGTTATTTTCCGGGAGAAACCGGCCCTTCGCCTGGCGATCGTATCGGTGATTGACAGAAACAAGGACCACTGGTGACTCGTGGAATGTTTTATTGAAAGAAACGTCCTGTAAGAAAGAAGGAATTCAACACGATTTAGAATCGTAGCCTGCGTAGCAAACGTAATTTAACCTCAGTGTTAGTAACGTCTGCGAAGTGTGCCGATATCCTTGTTCTGCGGATTCCTTTCCGGGGTTTCTTTTCCTTCCTGGGATATCCTTGTTCTGAAATACGTTTTGTATTTCCCATCAACCTGACTGTCAAATCGACAATGGCATTTTAAACAGACCAATTATGGCGCGTACTCAAATCCCGTTAAACAGGTAGGGGCCCAGACCAAGGACTTTCGCGCTGTTTCGCAGACGGACGTAACCAGAGATAGTTTCGACCGGTGGCAGGGGCTAAACGATCGTGGTTCTCATCGATTAACGTAGTAAAGCACAAACAAAACACTCAAGTAGTTTGGTCTTTGTTACCTTTTACAGCTGATTGACAGCTACCACTCACCTGGCAGAAGCCATAGTTGTCCTCAGCTGACGGGTATCCGTCATTTGGAAAGAACTTTTCTCCGGCAGTCACGTTGTCAAGCCTGAGGAATGCGAACCAGTCCTGTTGGTGAAAAAAAAAAACAGAAACGTATAATGTCCAAGAAACCATTTGATGGATTTACCCTAAGTGAGAAGTAAGTGCTAATGTTGGCTTAGGGGAGGGGTAGGTGGGCAGTTTCCCAGACATGTATAATGATCCAAGGGATCATTTGATGGATTTGCCCTAAGTGAGAAGTAAGTGCTAATGGTAGCTTAGGGGAGGGGTAGGTGGGCAGTTTCCCAGAAACGTAGAATGATCCAAGGGATCAATTGATGGATTTGCCCTAAGTGAGAAGTAAGTGCAAATGGTAGCTTAGGGGAGGGGTAGGTGGGCAGTTTCCCAGAAACGTATAATGATCCCCCTTGGGATTATTTGATGGATTTGCCCTAAGTGAGAAGTACGTGTTAATGTTGGCTTAGGGGAGGGGTAGGTAGGCAGTTTCCCAGAAACCTATGATGATCCAAATTAAGTTAGAGAATTCATCATCATTTTACTGTTTTAGTTGATAGCCTTCGAAGCACTGGTTAGCTCATGCCTCATATCAAGGTTGTTACTTTTCCCTTTCCGGTTTTTGCAGAAATTCTAAAAACGCATTAACCTAAAAAAGATAACCTGTTAAACACTGGCATAGAGTCCTGCAGATCTGCTAAGTACAAATTGAATATAAAAGGACCTAATATGGAGCCTTGTGGGACGCCAGACACTACCTATTCCTTGTCCTAGATCACAGCTGATGAAATGACGATGGATTCCCCCCAAAAAAACATAATGTCTATGTTACGTGTATACTTTATCGTTATTTCCCACGTACCACAATTGTATCTCTGTGTTTTCCATCAAAAGGCAAGAATTCCCTGATGCAAACTTCGAAACCTTCAGAATTTACATTCTCCAACCATACATAAACAGCATCAGTTTGCTTTTTACTACGGCCGTACTTTGCGGAAACAAACATGTACGGCTTAGAGGCAAAGCTCTGGAAGACAAAATACGAGGTCAAATGAGCCTATGGACAATGAAATGGACGTAGATTGACTGAAATTTGATCCATCTATTAATCCGGGACAGAGGCCTTGGTTTTGACAACGTTAACAAGGGCGGATTCAGAGGAGTGGGCCCAGGACGCCCAGGCCCCCCCTTTTGTACGGGAATTGTTTTCTTTTGTAAACGTGTGTCAGATGGTACGTCGAGCTTTGTTACTTAACTATATTTTCTTAAATAAACATTGTTAACACTGAAGAAAATTTATCGAACGTTGTTCGAATCAACCGCCCTTATAAACTAGCTTCAAACCGACAAACTGAAAGATACTACTGATACCTGCCAACTTGCAGAAGCTTTAAAAGTCTTCTCAAAAGAAAGTCATTCGTCACTATTTGCCCGATCTTACACTGCCAAGGCGTGCGTCTCAGGAGCCAGAGCTGTGGAAGCGCTTTTGGTATGGTAATTTTCTTTCAAATTTACAAAGAATACAGCACAGTTTCACTAAGTTTATATGTACTCATGTACATGGTTATGAAACGTTTTTGCAGTGATACGCGAAGGAAACCATTTCTGTCTTGCGATATATGTAAGTGGTTGCTTTCATTTTCAGGATCAATAGAACCGAAAAAGCCTCCATTTTACAAGACGAATTGGCAGCCTGCAACAAAGGCCTATACTCCAAACTCCGCACAATTTTGCGGCTCCTAATGATCGGCCCTGTCACAAGTGCAACTGTAGAACGTAGCAACTCATCACTGCGCTTGTAAAGAGTTGTTTTGGAAGCACCATGAGAGAACACCGCCTTAACGCACTGTCGCTGCTCTTTATTCACAAGGACGTTGCTCTGGATTATGATGCAATTATTGACGACTATGCCAAGCGCAACAAGAGAAGGATGACGTTTATCAATCCCATGCAATGAATTTACTTATGATTGGTCTTAGAGTCATTTCCTTGGGATGCATTTCCTTTGTTGAATTTTTTTTAATATAAATCTTCTTTGAATCTGTGTTCAAAGCCTACATTTTTGGTCGCAAATGACAAAAGCTCCCAAAACGCATGCAGTAAATATCCTTCTCAAACAATCTGGATTTGACAATCTTTCAGGGAGACAATGTTGCTGCCTTTGCTGGGAGGTTGTGCTCCCGCCGCAATCGCGTCGGCCCCCGCTAGCATCATAAAATTTAAGCGTCCAGAATGCACTAGACTGCATCTCAGAGAACTTCAATCTCAAAAATTTTCGCCGAGGACCATGTGCCCGAAACTCCCTAGAAAAGTGCGCCGCCGGTTCGCAGTCCTGATGGGCGCTATCGCGCTCATATTACCACTGTATACAGTTACTATGTCTCTAGGTCCCCTCTATCACAAAATCCTCCGTCCGCCACTGATTGGCGTTAATGTGTTACATACCAAAAAACCTTGAAAAATCACAGAAAGCACAATGTCATTCCTGCTAAAAAGTGTTGTTCTTACATGCAGCATTTTTGTACTTTATTTTCAACAGATTGTTAACTAATTTCATGGTCTAACCTGAAAAAAGGCTACTTTTTCACATTTGGTTTCTGTTGTCCATATTCCACCAAAAGCAACGCTTCCATGCGTTATGTCTGTGCTTGGCTGGTCTTCCAACGCTAACCAGTTGATAATTTCCGTGTCGTTTTTATTACCCGCCGTGCGCGAACATAGTTTAAATCCAACTGTATTGATGGATTCTGACCACAGAGCCGAGGGCGTGTGACCCATCGATGAGTTTTCTTCATGACTCAGTGACACAAAAACGTGGACCTGAAATGCATCCGTTAGAAATACGTATAAGTAAAAACAGATAAAGCGCTCCAGTGCCGTTGATATGCCACTGTCAGTCCATCGAAGTTCTAACTTGTTCCCTTTCAGCTGTTCTCCTTGTTTTAGTCGTTTTGATCGACCGTTGTAACGTTTTTTTTTTGTCTCCTTTACAATATTATTTTCAAGAAAACACCGAGTGCTTCTATGGTCTAACTTGAAGTCATTTCAACTGAGAAATCGATATTCTGAGATTAACTCCAACACGAATCTGTCTGGTAACATTACCCAAAAGATGGTGAATTATTATCATTACTCTTTTCGATTCTTGACTCTTAGTTGATGAAGGGTTGGAATACACATTAGTTCCTTGACTCATTTGAAATTCCCCGGGGAAGCATTGTTCATGAATTTAACGATGACGTAAAGTTTAAGCTCATAGCTTAGTCCATTTCAAAAGTGCGGAAGCACATCTTGGTATGCAGTCATAAATACTTACAGTCCGTGATCCAACGAATTCCCGATGAAAAGTCACATCTGTGCAACGTGACAATGTACAGTGAGTCGGCGCTTCACATTTGCTGCTGTTGCGACTCCATTCCTGCCTTGTCTTCGAAACGTCTACTTTTCCAATCTGATAGGAGAATCCTTATAAAATAGAAACGCAATTTCATAATATTCTAAACCCTTAAAGTAAAGGCAAGGTGCTTAAAATAAGAAAGGAAGTCGAAGAAAAGTGCCGAAGAGTAATGAAAGCAACAAAACTAAAGTCCTTAGCTACGACAACAGGACCGACACGGCTAAGTGCAGGTCCTCAAGCACCATATTCATGTGTCGCACACGAAAACTTGAAACTTTATGGCTACGGCGTGGGGAGCATTTGGCCCCCAACTGCGAGACTAAGAGTGAGTAGTTTGAGCGCAATGGCAGTCACCATCTGGCTGTTTGTAATGATAGTATGAGGCATCAGTGGTAGTCAGAGTCTTGTATCTGGAACGGTTTTCGAGTTCGTTGTATTTGAAGCGGGGTCGGGGAAAATAATCTGTCACACTCGGCTACGCTTCCGATATTTTTAATGCTTTCCTTGGTAATGTACGATGAAACATTGTGTACCGTGTTTGATATACGAAGAAGCGAAAATATATTATCGTGTTTGAGGCGTAAAAAGAGACGAGGAAGGCCCGAGGAACAAATCTTCCATGCAGGATCCGAGGTTCCGGTGTCACATTGCGAAGGGGGAAGGGGTTGGTGGCTGAGGGAAGAGGAGGTTGAGAATAACTGACAGAGCAGGTTATACGGGAAAATTAAATTCTCACTTGGTTTATGTGTTCCGTTGCCGCAGTAACGAAAGTTGCAAATTGGGGGCTTCCCAAGGTGGTAGACGTCGAATCCTCCACAGTTACGAACTGTGATGCTTGTTGAGTATTCACAACAATTGTTTTTGTAACGGAAACAAACTTTGCGTCGAACAGCACCCTCAGCTATTTCAGGATGACTGCCATTCAGCCAACCCGGCAGTTCTGCGCCACATCGAAACTCCGGAACACATGAATCCGCCATTTGCTTTCCAGCATCTCCCCCAAAGCGATACCATCCGTTAAAATCATCATCACAAAGGAAGTCAATACTGATTTTGTAAAAGGAGTTTGCTCTGCTGGACTCGTTAAGGAACGTGTAATGGTAACACTCTAAAATAGAATAGAACATTGTAAGCTTCCGAAATTAAACCGGCGTTAATTTTGCCCAAACATTTGGGCAAAATCGCTTCCCAAGAATGCAATACGTCCATTTCTGGTCAGACATCGCTCCCTCGGTCAACCACATGCACTGCGGGTTGAGGGGTTTGGGGAGCTTAGTCTATGGTATAAGGTCACAAAAATCACCTGAGCCTTGACTGGTATGGTTCCAGTGGCACATCCCCACAAATCTAATTTAACCCCCCACCCCCACCCCCCCTCCACCGCACCCCGGCTTAATATGCGCCTGGCGGTAATGTGAATGCTTGTCTATTACTCTAGGGAAATTCGCAATTTCGGGGGAATTTCATGCACAATTTAGGTGCGAGTGGTTCCCTTGTAAAAATAGAAAAGTTTAACAGAGTTTTACCCTCTATTTTATTTTTTTTTTTTCCACAAAAATACGAACTCCTCATTTTCTCCACTTCACGTTTTTCGCACTCCGTATTAACCTCATTAATTCCAGACAACCGCGGTACAAGAAATAAAACGATGACGCCTGTTCTAAGTTGGTCAATTTCAATATCACTGTGAACTTGATTGTATCTTATCAAGGCACTTCCTGAACGACAAAAATTTAATGAACTGTGAAGTACAACAATTAGCTGGTAAGAGGGTTCCAAAGCTCGAAACTAATATGGCCATGTCACGATAAACTTTTCACCTCAATGCCTGTGGTCATGAATGTGCAATTCCACTTAACTTTCAAGACTTAGATAGATACCCTCAAAAACATATATTGTATAGTAGCTGAACAATGTGTTTACTTATTACTTTCTTTGTCATCTTTTTATAATAGCTAGCACTATGACACAATTAAGTTAAGTCAAAAGCGTTAAAAAAAATTACATCTAAAAGGAGAAAAGCCTGATTAAGAGAACAGATTGTGCAGGCCCTTGTGGCTATATTACGTGGACGTGAGACGGTCGGCCCTGTAGCGATCCGGTAACACTTAAGATTAAACATTTTTTGTATAAAGAGGTTGTACTTTAACTGATCCTTTTCTAGTATCCATGGTCAGTAGAATCACGACTAGTGGTTGAATATGGGAAGCAACAACGTCACCGGATGAAGTTCCTTTTAACTGTAATTTTCGCAACTCTTTTGACTTTCCTGACGTATCCTGCGTAGCATGGAAGGCGCAGTTTTTTTAGGAAGAAGGTTGCCTAGTCCCTGTACGGCGTTTTTGCAGGCCTTCACGGTCAATTCACTTTAGTGACGCCATGACGAACGGGCAGGAAACACTCATTCACTTCTTCCCTCTGACCACGGGACCCGAAACACATTAGCCGCGCAGAATAATGGGGCCTTGGGACAAATAACAATAATTATAAAAGTAAATTATAATAATTATGAAAGTAAATTATCATAATTATAAAACAATAGAAATGTGGCGGTGGTGGTGGTGGAGGGAAAACAATAGAAATGTGGTGGCGATGGTGGTGGTGGTGGTGGAGGGAAAACAATAGAAATGTGGTGGCGGTGGTGGTGGTGGTGGTGGTGGTGGAGGGAAAACAATAGAAATGTGGTGGTGGTGGTGGTGGAGGGAAAACAATAGAAAGGAGGAGGAGGAGGGAAAACAATGGAAATGTGGCGGTGGTGGTGGAGAGAAAACAATAGAAATGTGGCGTTGGTGGTGGTGGTGGAGGGAAACGGGGTAAAAATAATTTGCATTTTATTCATGAGATCAAGACAATAGCCTATGACGTCACCTAGTTAATGTATTCCTGCGCACCTTTTATTCATGAGATCAAGACAATAGCCTATGACGTCACCTAGTTAATGTATCCCTGCGCACGCTTATATGCGCAAAAAAGAGGCCTAACCGGTGCACCCTATACTACTGAGCCTCAAAACTACATTTATTTGATTTCTTTTTCGAGAAAGCGCGGTGACTAACAACAATTAATGATAAACTGTATTGTTTAGTGGCTATCATATAACCTTACAACTTCGGTTTGTTGCTGTTGTTGTTTGTTTGTTCATAATGCCCTTATGACTAAAACCAAAATTTAAAGCAAGTTTATTATAGCTAAGTAGCGCATCTTCTCAAACATGCAAAAAGGTTTAATTAAAGGAGCTGTGGCCCAAAATTCGTCAGAATTCGAACAGTAGGAACTGCCACCAAACTGAGTGAAAACATCAAAATAACAACTTAGAAGGTTAAAAGAAGATATAAATGACATAGAAAATAACAAAGGAAGCAGAGGGCGGATGGACAAACTTGAGAAAGATTGAAACGGATTGCAATCGTGGTGTTTGAAAACTTGTTCAGTAGCCTAACGGTTTTTCAAAGTTACGTTTTGTTGTTTGTAACATTTTATATTATGCCTGGGAAACATATTTGCTTGACTCAAAGCAGTGATTTTCCTATTGTAAAGTAATTTCACAAGGTTCATGACGAATAAGGACGCGTAACTGGGGCCGGCATATATCGATAACAAAATGAACTAGCAAGCCGTGGTGAAACAACCCCTTTGACACACCTCTTTACACAACACTACCTCGCTTCAATGTTTGTGTTTATAAAATCCTCTAACCGATGGTTTTCATATTACGTTTTATAGCCGGGACGGGCGGGTGGTCCTAGTGCAGATTCGCCCAGCTTAATATAATAGCCGGCCAGCATTAAAGCGCCTAAAAGACTAAAAAAATTAAGAGACCATGAAAGTATATCTAACCGAATTTTTGAAAACATACCTAAAAACGGACCAGAATATTCGCACAGGAACCTGGCGATAGCCAGGTTTCTGGTCACTGTGGTGAGAATAAACTAATAGGGGGCTTGCTGTCCTGGTTGGTCTCATTCTCAAGCTCAGTCCACGAACTAACTCGCCATGGGTTGGGAAGGGGACTCCATGTCAATCCCTAGGGGGGGAGGAGGGTGCTGCAAAAGCGTGGTACTGTCTGTAAGTCTTGCTTTGGGAGAGTCAGTGCACTCGTCATGTCTGCCTTTAGTTTGTCATGTCAAATTCTTTTAATGTTTGAGGCCCATTGGCCAATGAAAGCATTCCCCTCAAGCACGTGCTAGGCTGGGGAGGTGGAGGAAGTCAGGGGGGGAAGGGGGGAAGGGGGTGATTTAACCTTGAATTCTCTGCTTAGAACTTGGTCAAGTCTGAAGCATCCTCTGTCATTTTGAGCCTTCAAGCAGCTAGAGTGTATGGCCAAGTCCAGACTGTCTTTTTGATGGACTTGAATGTTTCTTTTGCTAATCAGGAACCAGGAAGAGAGTCACCTTAAGAGAACCATGGGTAAGAGCTGAGTTTCTTGACAATATTCACTTTAGTTGAGTCCGTTTAAGGTGTGTGGCCTCCAGTAGCCCACTGGTACGGTTTTCATAAATCCGGCTAGATATATTAGCTCTCAAATTCTCGAATTAAACTCCCTTGCTAAACGTAACGCCTATTTGCGTGCATGAAGGTGATTTTTTTTTTAAATAAAACAGAAAACAACTTCATAAAAAGGTTTTTATTTCTTTAATTCTTCCTTTTTTCTTTAACATAACTATGAGAGAGCTTAATCAGTGACCTCTTAGATTATTAGAAACGCATCTCCTTAAGCGCTAATAACATAAAAAAAGCGAATTTCGCACTAAACCCTAGAGAACATACCGGATAATCAAATCATTCTACATAATATATCATGGAGTACTTTTACTTAACTATCAGTTTTCCAGCCTCGTTTCGTAGCAGCAACCAACGTAGTTAATGATACCCTTGTTAGTAAGGACAGCTGATATATTTGTGATGAACTTAGTTATAAATTTTTAATTGTCATGCATAATGCAGGAAAACAAGCCCAGATAAATATCAAAGCTGATGAAGTTCACTGCTTTTAGGGTGTTTCGTAAAAAGTTTCTACTTCGTCTGGTGTGAACTCGAAAGTTCCTGCCAGGAATGTTTGGGCGAATTTGCTGCGGTAGCTGTACCCGCTAGGTGGGCCGTAAGTATGGCCAAGGTTGCTGAAAGAATTGCTATTGGAAGACGCGTAGCTATAAATGACAATGTCATATCCACCTCCGAATGTAGGCCCATTGCAATTGTTAGAGCTTATGGATCTTTTGTAAGAAGCATATTTCCCTGTTTGAGGTAATTTGACAGGTGCCCAGTAGTGGAGGAGGCACCGGTTACTCCTTTTTTTGCCTATTTAATTAACTTTTTGTGCGGTATAAATTAACGCAGATGACGTCATGCATCTTATTAAGATAGGATGATGTCATAGTTTAAATTAATGCCGATGACGTCACGCATGCCATCAAGATAGGATGATGTCATAGTTTATTTTTAGCTGACTGACGTCAAGAATGTCATATAGATAGGATGATGCCATAGTTTATTTGTAGCTGGCAAGGAGCAAGTGACGTCAGAATTTCCTAGAGTTGACGTCATCAAAAAATGTTGACATCATAATCTATAAACAGAAAAGTGATTTTTATATAATTAGCTATTTGCTATAGTCTTTTGGTTAGATATTGTTTGCTATAGTCTTCTGATTGGATATTGTAGAAACTGTCATGTGTTCAAAATAAAAGAGGGCAAATTTTGAAGGTGTTATCTTTGCAGATTATACTAAATGAAAAATCTTTAATCATTAAATTTTTTTCACTAAAAATCGGTTATAAACAAAACCAAGACACGGAGGTTAACTGAAAAATCTTTACTTCAAAAGAAGGGAAAAGGAGGTTAAGCGAATGCGAAATCATACAAATTTTTCAGGCAAAACATAAAAACGAAGTCGAAGCTCAGCGAAGCGAAAAACNTAAATGAAAAATCTTTAATCATTAAATTTTTTTCACTAAAAATCGGTTATAAACAAAACCAAGACACGGAGGTTAACTGAAAAATCTTTACTTCAAAAGAAGGGAAAAGGAGGTTAAGCGAATGCGAAATCATACAAATTTTTCAGGCAAAACATAAAAACGAGGTCGAAGCTCAGCGAAGCGAAAAACTGCCTATCAAGCAAAAATGTCAA